GTTGTGCTTTTGGAAACAGCATTAGAAATCACTTATATAGAGGAATATAGATGATACTGTAATATTCTGTTTATCATATAATTACATATGAAAGCAAATTATATAGAGAAACCTCGAATGTGTTATTTTCRMTAGTGAAAATATCAACTTTACGAAATGGAGAAATATAGGCATTTCATAGATAATTATGTGATAAATAGCAATRTCAAAGTATCAATGTCAAAAAAGTTGTATGACTAAATCAATATTTCAACGAAATGCATCATGGATAACGCAATGAAAGGAAAGAAACAAATGAGTGTCGAAAACCTAGTGAGATTTAACACTTGATCTACTACATCCCGAGATGTGCGGAAATGCACAGTTCTAGTTTTCTTCTAACAGATATTTTAAAATCAAATATTACAAAATGCAAAAACATACACTAKTCCAAAAGGTCRAATACCGAAAGGAYTCTGGCAAAGTGCACGGAAGGCGTTTCCGGGGTCTCGTGACGATGATCATTAAGAGGCAGGCGGTGTATCAATTGAAGGRYAMAGAAGGAGCGTGAAGCTTCGTTATTTTTTTCTCTCMTTCCCATCAACCTCTTCAAGCTTAGCAGGAAAAGATGCCAAAGGGTCGGTGCGAGTCCGACACTGCGTTGATAAGCGATTAGGCACATAATCTCAGTTTCGTTCYGCGCCTTCCATCTTTGTTTCTTACCATCTTACTTAAAATAGGTTTACGTCCTTTGAAGTATGAAAGACACGTATCAAATTATCTATTGTCTAATAACGGAAGACAAGGGGAAAGGTTAAGAGGACTTCTGTAATCCATCTTGTCCGTCAATCATTATATACTGAAATTCAGYAGAAAAACACGTTTTAAATCTTCAAGTGACATGGCAAGGAGCGCTGATTTCCCCATTAAAACAAAGTCACCATAAACACATCTATTATTCTGTTTAAACYTCCGAGAACGTTTGAGCCGGTCAAGTCCCCTACAGATCTCAACCAGACATGGATTTGATGATGTTATAAAAAAACACTCTAGCGTTCAGGTCATTTGCTTTAGCTTTATATGAGATAAAAAAATCTGTCGTTATCCCATTGCGAAAGACTTTTAAGAGCAGCGCACACAACATGACCCTGCCAGATTCAAATGGAGTGTCTATACTTTATGCAATGTTTGAAATATACGACTGTGACCTTTGTCTTTARCAAGGGCGTACATCATTATCGTTGTTCCCTTTTGACCGACGCCCTGCTAGCAAAAGMCGCTTTCGCCGCGGAGAACCGGCTTTTTATCTCTTCTCCTGTGTACACAGGCGTTCCTGGTCACACCAAATGAGATTGGGATGGTACGCCATGGGGTCCACGGTATTCCGTGCGGCACGAAAATAATCGAAAAGTTAGATCATTATAGCCTGTGATTTATAGTCCGTAGACCATTATGCTTAGCASCACATTGATTTTACAACCTAGAACTGGGACCTATTCTTCATTCCATCCCAAACTGTCGCAGCATAAAACCCAGTGACTGGCTGAAAACTGGCGAATGTCGATTGATCAAGATACAGTCAACTCTCGCTATTACGGACACCCGTAGTGTCCGCAGTAGCGAGAGTCGGTAGTAACTAGAGTGACTTTCACTCATTTTTTTTTTGCCGTATTTTTCGCCGGGGAATCAGTATTTTACTGTCCGCAATATCGTGGTGTCCGTTGTAGCAGGGTGCCCGTAAGGCAAATCTCAGATCGAATGATCTAAATGTCGATCTTAGCTTCCCACGAAAACCCCAGGAAACACGAGTACATGGCTGTCTACTGGAGATCAATGTGATACTGTGGAATAGGTGATCATCAACCCACCCCAAAAAATTAAACGGTCAAGACGTCATAAATCCGTGAAAAAAAATGAACTATTAAAGTGTGGTAGTCAAAGTGACAATAGATAGCAATGAAATTAGTGTATTATATTGACTTCTTTCTAGGTACTTCTTTGACGATTTTGCATGCGAATGTAAAAGGTAGGAATGACCTATCGAAAAGACAATCGAAAAGAACGGCATATCAACAAGAATGCTTACATCAACAAATGTAACACCACCACTAACACCTCTTTTCCACAACAAAGTACGGCACCAACAACACCACTTCTCTTTATCGCAGCAAAGTACAGCACCAACAACACCACTGCTCTTTATCGCAGCAAAGTACAGCACCAACAACTCTTTTCCACAACAAAGTACAGCACTAACACCACCACTGCTCTTTATCGCAGCAAAGTACAGCACCAAGAACTCTTTTCCACTAACATCAACAATATCAACAAGGTTGTTTTACTCCCAAAATCAAAAGGGCGGATCCAGGGGGCTGATTAGGGTGGGTAGCCACACCCCTTTTTTGGAGTTCAAAAATATAGAAATTGAAATTATGATAACTAAATAAGAGTAGAAATGAAAACTGAATGGGACTCATTCTGAAAACTAACTATAGCAGCGTGAAGAAACTTATTTTCTGAAGCACTAAATCCATCCATAAAATATTGTCTTGAGTTAGGCAGCTCACTCCCCCCCCCCTGCTCTCCTAGATCTACTACTGCATCACCACTTTTACACCACAAAAACACAAATGTCATCAATATTGGTTCACTTAAGACATCACTAACAACACAAACAAGGAAACTCAACGGCAAGACCAACAAACTGGTAGCATAAAGATCTTTGTTGGTTGTATTTTTCATATTTATACGTAGTTTGTTTAACCAACCATGAATAATTTTAAACTTCTTTCCCAGCTTTCGACCTAAGCGGTCATCTTCAGGGAACACTACTAACTATTGTTTTTGTTTTTGTTTTTGTAACGTCTTTGTGTTCCCTGAAGATGACAGCTTAGGTCGAAAGCTTGGAAAGAAGTTTAAAATCATTCATGGTTGATTAAACAAACTACGAATAAATACCAGTAAGAATCACATAGGCTCTGAAATAACACTATGCATTGCACTGTGGTCTAGATTCAGCATAAACACCTTTTGTTCATGCAGCCAAAATTAAATATGGTGTTGTTTGTACCGAGCCTAGACCACAATGCAACCTGATTTTGTATGTCAGAAAATTTCTATTTACAGAAATGTTCTGTGAATTTTCAAAGCTGATCAAAGAAAAGCTCAAGGTTCGTTTTTCGTCCGTTACAAAATATCTGATTTGAGTTTATTAGCATTTGATTTACAGGTTAATTACTACTTTAGCTGCCCTGCACTCTATACTGATCAATGTTTTTTAAGAATATTTTTTTTTTAGGTTTTGTTGACGCAAAGTTTAGAAACCCTCCCATTTATATCACTCTGCGTATTTTTTTGGTGAAATCCTTCCGAATCGGAAAAACATCAAGAAAACGATTCTACTTCTAACTTTGTTACCTATCTGCTAGCAATTTTCTTCTTTTCTCTACAGTTTTCGATAGATTTATAACTTTTATGATTAGCAATTGGAACGGTGTAAGAACTCGCAATAACTGTTATGGAATATTGAGGGAGTCTACGGAAAWATGACGTTTCTTTTGAATTGACTAGTTGGATGTTGAAACATTTAAACACAATTGCCAAGAGAATCCATCGTTGAGTTAATATAATTATTTATCTTTTTTAGGAACCAAATAATTGTAGAATATCGAAGGTGTTTGACCATTAAAGGTATGTTTCGAATCTAAGCAGTCGGCCATTTTTTAAAAGAAGCAACTATGACGTCATTTTCCAGGGACCAATCAAACTAGAAYGTGAAATATGAAAGGCCATATCGACAAGGAAAATCACTTGTACGTGACGTCATAGCATCTCAATCTAGTATACCCTGAAGACAAAGGACGTTTGTGAAATAAAATGCACAAACTACCCTCCCAAGATTGACCTGAAACGAGTCTACGATGGTTCTGTAAAGCTTGGAACGGTTGCCTAGGAAATTGATAATTCCGACGGGACAAATTGCGGATGTTACCTAACTGCTTAGTTTCCTAYATGGGTACCCCTTTTCTTGRACCYAMAGTCTTCATTTACCATGTAGACTAGGATTTAGCCTGTTTAAAAATACTTCTTCTTCTATACAAGCGAGAGAATGATATAAAATAATCCAATTGTGCGACGACATGGTTGACATCAAACTCCTGGCGGAAACTTGCTGATTTCTCCTTGCTCSGATATGGGTGCACCGTTAATTTTGTATGAAATCTTTACACGCATTCGTAGAGGTTGCTGAAAGAGAAAAACAATCATGTTAAATATGTGAAGAACGAGTACAAAATCTAATACAAGTGTAATAGTTCAAATGCAAAAACATTTTCTTTGGTAACTTTGTGACCATTACCAAAAATTCTCTTTTTCATCATCACATGGATAATAAAGTTTACAATTATGCGCGTGCGCGTCACAAAAATCCCGAATCTACGAAGTTACGCCGAAGACCCGAAGCCTTTACGGAAACGCGCGCGCGCGCCTCATTTGGCGCCAAAACAAAAAGATTCGTAAAACAAGAATATTGTTGGGTTCATGAGTTAAGCTAGTGTTTTTTAAAGTCAAATACCTGAAAAGGCATAAAAAGATTGTTTTTGTATATTACGTGTCTTTGTACTTGTAAATATAAACGTAAATACTGCAGCACTTTGACAACAAAACTAAAACGTTACAAATATACACACATTAAAAAGCAACCGACAACTGGAGCATGCGCGATGGGGCGAATAGTACCAGCGCTTTCAAACTGGTAAAGTCTTACATTGCTTAAATATTYTAAACCACAGGTTTTTGTTTTCAAACTGATTCCTTGTTRCTGTTTAAAGGACAGTTTTGGATTATTTCGTTGAAAACGTGTAGAATTTTAGAGCGTTTTGACATAGAAAGGAACGGATAAAGTACTCAGTGAAAAGTCCGAGTTYTTAATGACAAAAAGGAGTCCTGTAGCGGAGTTTAACATAAACATTACATATTGTGACAAATTGTTGACAAATTACGGTAATAATAATAATTGATTTATYACAGTAACCTAAACCAACCAAGGTTGAACTGAACCACATTTAATATTGAGAGAAATACATCACCAATTATAGATTTTCATTACTATTTTAGTTACTATGATGAAAGGCTTGTTGTATATGCAAACGTCCGAATCGCCGACGAAGGACTAACGTCCGAAACGTCAGTAAGTTGTTTCACCTACTTTCWTACGGCGTTAAATTTAGCTTTTTACACAACTGTTTCTTTAGAAACACCGACACTAGCTCTCACTAGTTTACCACTAATTTCCACCGTTTTCGAAATAATAACCGTATTATAGGGCGTTACCGCTTGGACAGATCATGTAAWCGAGCTAATAAATACCCGTTTAATCTTATAGCTTACATGGACATGGAACATGTAAACACTAAAACAAACGACCGTTCATAGACCTGTTATCATTTAAACATCGTCGATGGTGTCGGTGGAAATCTTCCTTAGCTTCGATATAATCGTCCGAATTGACGGGTGGCATGTGGCCTAGTGGTTTAGCTGCTGGCCTCTCACCGCTGTGGTCCGGGTTCGATTTCCGGGCACGGACCCATGTGAGTTTGAGTTCGTTTGATGTGTTGTTCTCTCCCTTGCCACGAGGATTTTTCTCCGGGTCCTCTGGTTTTCCTCCCTCAGCAAAAATCAACATGTGAGGAGTGTTGTGTGCTAAAATACTTAATGTAGAGGTAGTGAGTGTGAGAGTATAGAGGGCCACAAGTTCATCAGTTCTTTAATGGCACGTGTTTACCCTCTTAAAAAAAAACAAAGTTGATAGTTGACCCAAACGCGGCTTTGTATTGTTCTAAAAACTTAAGAGGGACTTCCGAAAGGAGAATGCACAACCTGCCTTTACCGCTTTGCTACCTGYATTACTTACTGGAACGCGCCCAAAGCAAAGCGAGTTGCTTTCAAGTGACCGCTTAAACTATTGTATTACTTGTTTTYCTATTACTGCTTGTGGCACTACATCCAAAAAACACACTTTTATATCCACTGCATATAATTAACTCAAAGGAAAAAGGGGTCA